AAAATAAAAATAAAATAAAATAAAATAAGCACACATGGTTATTTCATTCCTTCTTTCTCTTTTCTACTATGATGTGGTCGTTAGTAGCGGCTAATGAAGGACCGGTTGTGATCCGGGTTCTAGTCGCACTCAGCTGGGTGGTCCAATCTGGTAGGCGCAGTTCATGGTACGTTTAGGGTACATGGTCGGTAGGCGAAAGTTCTGTAGAAACAGTCCACGGTACCTTTGGAGTACATGGGTGGTCGGCGGAGGCTAGTTACGTGGGTGGTCGGCGGAGCCTAGCTCAACGTGGACTAGGAAGCACCTGGGCACCCAGATCGCTGGACGACCCATTGAGATGACCAGAGCCCAAAGGGGGTATCATACTCAAGTCATAAAGAGATTCGTAACCTTCAAGGACTCTTGGAATTTTGACCTAATATGAGGAGAAGACTCATGGTATGATAAGAACTCTACAGCCTCTACATGTCTTCATCTATAAAAGGGGCGCAAGTTATTTTATTTACACAACACACACATAAAAATTCTCTCGTTATTCTGCCGTGTTTCCTTCTGACCACCACTGACTTGAGCGTCGGAGTATTCGCGCCGGGACCACCCCCGGCGTGTTTTGCAGGTACCGGCGATCAAAGAGACATAACCCGGTTCGAAGAGGAGCGGTCCAGCGGTCCAGGTTTGTGTGGTATAACAAATTGGCGCCGTCTGTGGGGAAGATCAGTCTTCTACCGGAGCACTAAAGGCTGTTTTTTCTCACCAAGGAAGAATAGAACAAGTATCATGGCAGGAGATAATTCGAAGAAGAGCTTGACTAAGGAGATGGATGATGAGTGGGCTCGGAGGGCCTTCGGAACAGGTCCCCCGCCAAGATGGTCACCCTCGCATGTTACCCCCAAAGAGACGCTGTTGGGCCCAAGTGTGACCCTGGTACCACAATCACAAGTTGAGGGGCGTGTGCTAAACCAAGGAGGATCATGTGGTTTGACAGACAAAGCGAATGAGGTGGGCGCCACGGTTGATGGGGGGCGAATCAAGGCACTTTGGGAACTGGAGGTGCTGGTGACCAGCATGGTGTCCCCTGTAATAGGCAGTTGGTATTGGTAAGAGCACAAAATCCTCTGGGGGACAATGTTTCTTCGGCACCACGGGAGGACCCGGTTATTCAGATGACTAGGTCAGAGTTGGACAAAATTATTGCTGAGGCGATAGGCCGGGTGCAGGAGGTGGATAAGAGAGCACCTAACGAGTCGTTTCGACAACCTCCGCCACGATAGCCATTAGTACCACAACAACAGGTCCACTCGCATCAGCAGCAACACCAACGATTGGAGAGGGGCGACGAGGATGATGCCAGGTCGGTGACCTCTCACCCGGTGGCCACGGCACAACCAGATGGGTTAACTTTTGAAAGGTTGGCGGCTCAAATGCGAGAACTCCAAGCTCGGGTGCAGGGTAAGAGACCTATAGTTTCACGAGGACACCCTTTTGCCGAGGATGTCTTAGGAGGAGATTTGCCTAGCAACTTCAGGGAGTTGAGCTTGTCCTATGATGGATCGGCGGACCCGGCTAGGCACTTGAGATCGTTTGACAACATAGCCGTGCTGCACAGGTATAGTGACGCTGTGAGTTGCCGAGCCTTCTTGACAACGCTGAAGGGGTCGGCACAAGATTGGTTCCACCAGCTGCCAGTGGGGTCTATCGATAGCTTCGAGAGGTTCAGCTCTTTGTTTTTGAACCAGTTCGCGAGCGCCAGGAAGCACGAGAAGACGTATCTCTCACTAATCAATATGCAGCAGAAGGAGGGGGAGACCTTGCGGCAGTATGTAGCGCGGTATACCAAAGAGTGCGTGGAGGTTCCCTCTGCCTCGGAAGAGATCAAAGCTGGAGGCTTTACGCGGGGGTTGAGGCCGGGGAAGTGCAGAGATTCGCTAGCGAAGAGGCCGGCAAGGTCCTTTGACGAGTTACTTGAGAGGTGTAGCAAATATGTGAACATG